TAAAAGTGCGAGCTTTGCTCCAAAGCGACGTCACTAGAGAAAATCGGAGGATTGGCGCGGCGAGAGCTACTTCAAAGGAGTGAACCAGCCCTTCTATTCTTTTTAGCCCTGGGATCAAATTGCATTGTCCATTAAAATTTCATGACAAGGTGGATTTTAGCTGAGCATACAAGACCTTAAACTAATTCTCTATAATATTTTGCTCCACTATGGACTAATCGTAGGACACAGTTCTCAGCAGATCACAGAAGGCGAGCATCCTTAGCTGAGGTCAGTGAGCGTGTGAGTAACCACTTTGATCAGCCTGCAAAGTGACCGAGGTTGCGGAGTCCTCCTTAAATTGTTCTATCGTAAAATGCTCGACTTTGCGTACAGGTTATTGGACATCAAAGAGGGGAAGTCATCCCTTCTGTAGAGAATCAAAATTGCGATGGGCTGTCATCCTCAGAGATGTTTCCCTTACCATCGCTAATAGCCCATTGTGCAGCTCTAGTGCGACGTAAATGAAGTACTACTGACTACTACTTTTTTTTTCTTTCCTCCAAGCCCTGAGCGTGTACCTAGGTTATGAAAAGTACTACTACTATAGTATTTTATTTATAGTATATTATCTACTATAGTACTACTACTATAGTATTTTAAAGATGCACGATTATATTATTGAGGTTGCGAAAAAAAATCCTCATACTCAGTGCCGGATTAAGCGTACGTGGGGCCCTTGGCATTCAAATTTTTAGGGCCCTTAGATTAAATTTTTTTCTCGTATATTTTCTACTTATTCCAATATAAAAGTATTTATATATCTTTTCATTTAGGAAAGCATATTTAAAATTAAAATAAATAATAATAAATTAAATTTTACTTCATTTTGTTAAATTAGAACTAAAAAAATTATCATATTTTATTAATATATATTTGAAATTGATTTTTTTTTTTTAAATCATTGTTTTTCTTAATTTTTTTAAATTTATTTTCAAAAAAAATCCCTTTTAAGGGGGCCCTAATCATTGGGGACCTCAGGCCATGGCCTAGTCTGGCGTAATGGGTAATCCGGCACTGCTCATACTTGAGTTGTATTGACTTTGTCAAGATTTTGTTTTCCGGTTCCAAAAATTTTGAAATTATTTTTTTGAAAATATTGTACCGTAACGGAAATTTTTATTTACATGTAATTAATAAGTATTATACTTAATGTTCTCATAAATGTTCAATACTTTTTATGAAACTTGGTACATAAAGTTTGAATAATTAAGTTTTTAATATCGAAACTGAAATTGTTCGTTTTTAAGGTTCGCTATCCTAGATATATAAATACGGTTATCTTGTTTTGGATACATATCGACAATGCTTTAAATAATTTTTTTTTTAAGAATAAGTTTTTGTTAACTATGTTATGCCAAAAATTCAATGCGTGTGATAATTATTTCCACTGTAATTTAATTCATACATAATGCCAAATTTAAAAAAAAAAATAGAAAGAAAAAGAAGAAAAAGACATTTTAGCATAAATAAATTAATAGACCTTGTCTCTTTTTTTTTTTTTTTTTTTTTTTTTTTTTTTTTTTTTTTTTTTTTTTTTTTTTTTTTNTACATAAGAATTTTAAAGTTTTCTTTTGTTTCTCCGTTCAGAGTCAGCTAACAGGAAAAAATTATATTTTCAACTTCTATTATCAAGACGTCAGCGCACAAATTAAAAATGGTCTGATGGTCACCTACAATCTCAATAATTAAAGGAATTTCTTTAATTAAATTAATTGTGTAGACTGTACTTTAAATCCGACAGGAAATTGATTTTTTGACCTTCAAAGTTTTGGAAGAAACCGCAATCTTAAGATTGCAGCTTAGTACGTGAAAATCCAATCAATATATATCAAAAATTGTTGAACTGTTTTCATCTTCTCTTTTTATTTCGCGAATTGTACTATAAGTTAACGTAAAATGAAAGAGAAAGTCCTGTCTTTCAGTAAATCACTCCGAATAGGACCGTAGCGACATCTATTAGAACATTCTATAATCTCTGTTATTTAGTTATCGTATTTGTAAATTCATTAAAGCAATATTCTCCGAAGTGAATTAAAAATAAAAAAAAATTGTAAAACTAAGTACACTCATAAAACTAGTTTTGTGCATAAAGCAGGATTGAAAGAATAGTTTTTTATTTAATAAAAACCTTTTTTTTTTTTTTAACTCTTTTTTTTTAAATAGTTTTTGACTTTAAAAAACTCCTAAGGCTTGGGGCTTTCTAAAAATTCCCATTTTTTTATTTGAACCATTTTTTTCGTTTTTTTTATTTTTATTATTTTAAATTAGGTTTATAGGCTTGTTCTGGTACAAATAATATTTTATGCCACTATTTAAAAATAAGTAAAATATTAACAAACAGTGGAAACCTTTCTTATTTAAAATTATTTCCAATAACTATTTTTATAATTATTGGAATAAAATTTAATAATTATTAAATAATGTAAAACTTAATAATTATAATACTTAATATAAAATTTAATAATTATAATACTTAATAATACAAAATTTAATAATTATTTCCAATAAGCAATTCAAAAATATAAACCTTTATTCCATAAATATGCTATCATGAGGAAGAAAAAAAATAATAACTAAAGGTCTAAAATATGCACACAAAAATGAATTTTTGAATTTCGGAGCACTTCGGGGTGGAAAAGTTACTATTTGAACAAATAATAAAGGAATCTCATTTTTCCGCAGCGCTTTTAAAAATTAATGAAAACTTCAACAAAAAAATCACTTTCTTAACAAATTAAGTTGGCGCAAATATCGGACTTCTCGATGACTATTCGGTAATTATTCGACCGATTTCGCTCAAATTTTGTTTTTGCCATGCAAAATCACATTCTTTAAAACGATGTAAAAAATTGTATATCTAACAATTCAAACATTTTTCAGCCATTAATAGATTAAATAATAAAAATAATACATATTTATTAAAAGTTATATTCTTTAATATAATCTTTGAATAAACAAATTTTATAATTGTGTGCAAATATTTTTCAATTCGCCAAAAAGTTTTCGAGATATGCTGAAATCCGTAAAAAGTAAAATTAACATAAAAAGAGGCACAAACTTTGATTCGGTCTTGTGACTTTACTATTAGGACCATATTTCCTAGATTGCGGCTATATTTTGGGGATTATAAATCTGTATCCGTCGAAGAAAAGAAGAATGTTTATTCAGAGAAGATACATTTTTGTGTCTGATTTCATAACTTAAATTATTGTGTGTACTAATTAATGAACATATTTGAGGTCATTCCCTAAAATTTAAATCCTCAGTATTTGGCCCGAAGGGCCACCACCTGATTCGTCATAATCTGTAAAACATGAGCTTAAGAGACATATTTAAGGTAATAAAACATATAATAATAGTAATGGGGTAGGAGCAAGCTCCAAATTTCAAGAATAATAAAATTGAGCACGTTAAAATAGTACTGTTTGTCAAAATTATACAGGAAAATAAATACAGTTAAAGGAATTGAATGAGCAACGAAAATATTATTTACAAGCTTATATATAGCTTCTTTTGATATGCTGTTGTTGTTGTTGTAGTTCATTTACGTCGGCTATTGGCGACGGTCTGGGAAACATCCCTGAGGATGATCCGAAGACATGCCATCACAATTTTGATCCTCTGCAGAGGGGATGGCACCCCCGCTTNAAGAAAGAAGATCAAGCATTTTTCTTTTTTAAATTTAATAAGCCACATTAAAGAAGGAACGTTGCAATGCTACACGCTACATTAACGACGTCTCCAGAGTAACTGAATGACGGTTCATATAGAAATCGCAGGTAAGCGTCTCATACAACAACGCCCCCTATAGTTCGTTGCGATCGCGAATAGCTTCTTTTGATATGCAAAACCTTCGCACGCGCAGGATGTTTTGGAACGAAATGCACGCTCTATGAACCAGCATTTTAACTGAGTCTCACTCATATGCGTACACACGTTGGACAACAAATCATGCTTTATGTACATGCGTGAGAGATTGGACAACGGCAGGTGCGTGTAGGGACTTAAGGGCCATTCTGAGTGAATGTGGTTTCATCTGATAATACATTTCACCAATCAGGATCTTATCTTTCCCCGGAGGAGATCGGAGCTGTGGCAACTGCATTCAGTAAGGATGCTCTTTTAATCACAAGTAATAAGGAACTGTTTCCGCTGCATGATTTTAATGCACTTCCATATTCTTCAGGAGCAAGAGGAGGAGAACCTGATGGGTCAATTCTTTTGCGATAGGATATATTTTACCAATCGCTCACTCAATCCCCTTCGTCGGAGATTAAATGTGCGCGAATCACATGCAGTTAAAATAACCCTTCAGGAGCTGTTAGTGCATGCGCAAATATTAAGAAAAATAATTACTACTAATCATGCGCATATATCGTGCATGTGAATTTGGAGTTGCGAGTAATAACCTACTTTTTGAATTTTCCATGGGCAAACATAATTCGACAATCAAGTTCTCGCTCAACTCTTCGAATTCGCTTGCGTAAATTTTTCGTATACAGTAAAAACAGCACTTTGGAAACTATAAAAGGCCATTCTCGCTGCAAGCAAAAAATTCTCAGACGCAAACGAGAAACTGACTATCGAATTTCAGGGATAAAAATATTCTACTATTCAAGTTCTCATTTCCAAATGAAAAAAATTTATATGAATTTTTTGCATCCAGTCAGATGAGCCCTTTTATAGTAATGAGCTTTTCTCACTACATCCGATTCGTATCGTGCATGCGTTATGTGCCTGCTTGGGCATTTCTTCTAGTAGTTACGTGCACGCGCGTAGCAAAAAATAGGTTGTCGTCTAAATGATTCAATGTGCACTCAAAATAAATGTTTCCTTTTACTTTATTTTTTGTCGTCCCATTGTGCGGGTTCTTCCCAACTTCGTCTGNTTCACTCAAAATAAATGTTTTCTTTTACTTTATTTTTTGTCGTCCCATTGTGCAGCTCTAGTGCGACGTAAATGAACAACAACTTTTACTTTTTTCATCCTTCTTTACAACTCCACTCTATACAAACGAAAATAAACAAATTTTGCTTAAAAAAATGGCGGATGCTGCTGCTCGTTCGCTACAATTCGAATATAAAGCTAATTCTAATTTAGTTTTACAAGCTGATACTCGTCTAATAGAAAGGAGGCCTAGAGATGAGGCTACAGGGGAAGTTGTATCTCTTGTTGGAAAATTGGAAGGATCCCGTATGGGTGATCGATATCAGCGTACTAAACCGGCTAAAGCTGAGGAGAAAAAAGCTAAACGCTTAAAAAAAGATGAATCAAAATATGACTTCTCTAAGCTTAAGGGACAAACATTACTTTCTGAAGGTATTGAAGATATGGTAGGTATTTTATACCGACCTAAAACTGCAGAAACAAAGCAAACTTATGAAGTGTTACTTAGCTTTATTCAAGAAGCTTTAGGTGATCAACCTAGAGATATTTTGTGTGGAGCAGCTGATGAAGTCCTTGCAGTCCTAAAAAATGAACGAATTCGAAATGACCTAGAAAGGAGAAAAGAAACCGAAGGGCTACTTGGTAGTTTGGCCCAAGAACGATATGCAGTTTTAGTTAACTTGTGCAAGAAAATTAATGATTATGGAGTTGATGACAAAGTTCAAACTACTGAAGATAATATTGATGAAACCTATGGTGTGAATGTGCAGTTTGAAGAATCTGATGACGAAGAAGAAGATATATGTGGAGAAGTTAAAGATGATGACTCTAATGATGAAAATGAAGGTGACGAAGCTGTTGTTGACAGTACTCTTCATGCCACAAATTTAGGTGCAAGCCAAGACACCCTTGGAAAGAGTGGTAAAGGATTGCATCCTCGAGATATTGATGCATATTGGCTGCAGAGAAAGCTAAGTAAGTTTTATGATGATCCTGTTATTGCCCAAACCAGAGCTGGAGAAGTTTTGGAAATCTTAAAAACGGCTGTTGATGACCGAGATGTTGAAAATCAGTTGGTTTTACTTCTGGGTTACAACCAATTTGAGTTCATTAAAATTTTGCGTCAGCGTAGGCAAATGATTTTATACTGTACTCTTCTTGCTTCTTTGCAAAGTGGCGCAGAAAAAACCAAGTTAAAAGAAAAAATGCAAAATGATCCAGAACTTGAAAAAATACTACGTCAGTTGGAAAACACTGAAAAGGAAGATATTATTCAAGAGGAGCGAGAAAGGCGTGCTCAAGTCCGCCAAGCTCGAGTGGATGCTGACATAGAAGCTATGGACATTGATGGTGAAAGTGTTCCTCAATTACAGCAGTGCCGTATGCTAGATTTGGAAGATCTTACGTTTGCACATGGTAGCCACTTTATGGCCAATAAACGTTGTCAATTGCCTGATGGATCTTTTAGAAAACAAAGGCGTGGCTATGAAGAAATCCATGTTCCAGCATTGAAACCCAAACCTTTTGATTCTAGTGAATCTTTAATGCCTATTGAAAAACTACCCAAGTATGTTCAGCATGCATTTGAAGGATACAAAAGCCTAAATCGAATCCAAAGCCGTCTATGCAAAGCTGCATTAGAGACTGATCAAAATTTACTTTTATGTGCTCCAACTGGTGCTGGTAAAACAAATGTTGCATTGTTGTGTATGATGCGAGAAATAGGAAAACACATTAATGCAGACGGAACTATTAATGCTGATGAGTTTAAAATTATATATGTTGCTCCCATGCGATCTTTGGTACAAGAAATGGTTGGTAATTTCAGTAAACGACTTAGTTCTTATAACATTCAAGTATCTGAATTGACTGGTGATCATCAGCTTACAAGAGAACAAATTAATGCTACTCAAGTTATTGTGTGCACCCCTGAAAAGTGGGACATTGTTACTAGAAAAGGTGGTGAACGTACCTATACACAACTTGTTAGGTTGATGATTTTTGATGAAATTCATCTCCTGCACGATGAAAGAGGACCTGTTCTAGAAGCTTTGGTGGCAAGGACTATCCGTAATATTGAAATGACACAAGAGGAAGTGCGTCTTGTTGGTCTAAGTGCTACTTTGCCAAATTATGAAGATGTAGCCAGTTTCCTGAGAGTAACTCCATCCACTGGTCTATTTTATTTTGATAACAGTTTCAGGCCTGTCCCTCTGGAGCAACAGTATATTGGTATTACTGAAAAGAAGCCCATTAAACGATTTATGCTGATGAAAGAAATTTTATATGAAAAAGTCATGGAGCATGCCGGTAAAAATCAAGTTTTGATTTTTGTTCATTCGAGAAAAGAGACTGGAAAAACTGCTAGAGAAATTAGAGATATGTGTTTAGAAAAAGATACACTTGGGCAATTTTTGCGTGGAGGCTCCGCATCTACAGCTGTATTAGAAACTGAAGCGAACCAAGTAAAAAATTTGGAGTTGAAAGATCTTTTGCCTTATGGTTTTGCTATCCATCATGCTGGTATGAGCCGTGTAGACCGTACTTTAGTTGAAGATCTGTTCGCTGATCGTCACATTCAAGTGCTTGTTTCAACTGCTACTTTAGCTTGGGGTGTCAATCTTCCTGCTCACACTGTCATCATAAAAGGCACTCAAGTTTACAGTCCTGAAAAAGGGCGATGGGTTGAGTTAGGAGCATTGGATGTCCTTCAAATGTTGGGTAGAGCTGGTAGACCACAGTATGATACCAAAGGAGAAGGTATTTTAATAACTAACCATAGTGAATTGCAGTATTATTTATCCTTGTTAAATCAACAATTACCTGTTGAAAGTCAAATGATTAGCAAACTTCCTGACATGTTAAATGCAGAAATCGTCCTTGGTAATATTCAAAACATGAAAGAAGCAGTTACTTGGCTAGGATATTCATACTTATATATACGTATGCTCAGAAATCCTTCTCTTTATGGCATTCTAGATAGTTCGGAGGATCAGTTACTAGAAAAGCATAGAGCTGATTTGATTTTTACTGCTGCGAATTTGTTAGATAAGAGTAATCTTCTGAAGTTTGATAAAAAAGCTGGTGTATTTCAAATAACTGAAATTGGAAGAATTGCAAGTCATTATTATTGCACTTTTGAGACAATGACTACATATACACAGCTATTGAAGCAAACATTGAGTGAAATTGAACTCTTCCGTGTGTTTTCATTGTCTAGTGAATTCAAAAACTTAAATATCCGAGAAGAAGAAAAGCTAGAATTACAAAAACTTATGGAACGAGTTCCTATTCCAATTAAGGAAAGCATTGAAGAATCAAGTGCTAAAGTGAATGTATTGCTTCAGGCTTATATTTCTCAGCTGAAACTTGAAGGCTTGGCATTAATGGCTGATATGGTTTACATAACTCAAAGTGCAGATAGATTGATGCGAGCCATTTTTGAAATCGTGCTTCATAGAGGTTGGGCACAATTGACAGATAAGGCTCTGAGTTTGTGTAAAATGATAAAACGTCGAATGTGGCAATCAATGTCACCTCTTCGTCAATTTAAAAAGATACCAGAAGAAGTTGTAAAGAAAATAGAAAAGAAAAATTTCCCTTGGGAGAGACTATATGATTTGGGACCCAATGAAATTGGTGAGCTTTTAAGAATGCCTAAATTAGGTAAAACTGTTCATAAATATGTACATCAGTTCCCAAAACTGGAGCTATCTGCTCACATTCAGCCTGTAACTCGAGCTACATTGCGAGTAGAGTTGACTATTACACCTGATTTCCAGTGGGATGAAAAAGTTCATGGTAGCTCTGAAGCTTTCTGGATTCTGGTTGAAGATGTAGATAGTGAAGTTATTCTTCATCATGAGTATTTCTTACTCAAAAGCAAGTTCTGTCAGGATGAACATATAGTGAAATTTTTTGTTCCTGTGTTTGAGCCTCTTCCGCCTCAATATTTTATTAGAATCGTGTCTGACCAGTGGATAGGATCAGAAACCCAATTGCCTGTATCATTTCGTCATCTGATACTTCCTGAAAAGTATCCTCCTCCAACCGAGCTTTTGGACTTGCAACCTTTACCTGTGTCTGCTTTGCAAAATCCTTTCTTTGAATCTTTATACAAAGACAAGTTTCCCTATTTCAATCCTATTCAAACACAGGTATTTAACTCTGTATATAACAGTGATGACAATGTATTTATCGGAGCTCCCACTGGAAGTGGAAAGACCATCTGTGCTGAATTTGCAGTATTACGCCTGCTCTCTCAAAATGCTGATGCTCGTTGTGTTTATGTCACTCCTAAAGAACCGCTTGCTGAAATAATTTATGCTGATTGGACTGTTAAATTTTCTTCCCAACCCATGAATAAAAAAGTTGTTTTATTAACTGGTGAAACTGGTACAGATTTGAAGCTTTTGGCTAAAGGCAACATTATTATAAGTACTCCTGAGAAGTGGGACGTATTATCACGAAGGTGGAAGCAACGTAAAAATGTCCAGAACATAAATTTGTTTATTGTTGATGAATTGCAACTGATTGGTGGAGAAGATGGCCCTATTTTAGAAGTTATTTGCTCACGTATGAGATATATCTCATCACAGATTGAAAAGCCTATTCGTATTGTTGCTTTGAGCTCATCTCTAGCCAATGCCAAAGATGTTGCTCAATGGTTAGGAGCAAGTCCTAACTCTACATTCAACTTTCCACCAAATGTAAGGCCTGTACAACTTGAGCTCCATATCCAAGGATTTAACATCACACATAATGCTTCTCGTCTTCTTGCTATGAGTAAGCCTGTGTACCAAGCAATTACAAGACTTTCACCAAGAAAACCCGTTATCGTTTTTGTTCCTTCTCGAAAACAATCTCGATTAACTGCAATTGATATCTTGACTTACTGTGCGTCAGAAGCACAGCCTACTCGTTTCCTCCATTGTACTGATGACGATATCCAACCGTTTGTTGATAAAATTCAGGATAAGACTTTAAAAGAAACTATTGGCAATGGTGTTGCCTACTTGCATGAAGGTTTGAGTACAAATGATACTAAAACTATTGGGCAACTTTTTGATAGTGGTGCTATCCAAGTTGTTGTAGTATCAAGAAATCTTTGCTGGGGTTTATCACTATCAGCTTATTTAGTGGTCATAATGGATACTCAGTTTTATAATGGAAAGATTCATACCTATGAAGATTATTCCATAACTGATGTTCTTCAGATGGTTGGGCGTGCAAATCGTCCAACTATTGATGATGATGGAAAGTGTGTTCTTTTATGTCAGAGCTCTAAGAAGGATTTTTTCACAAAATTTTTATATGAACCTTTGCCGGTTGAAAGCCATTTAGATCATTGTCTTCATGATCACTTTAATGCTGAAATTGTGACCAAAACCATCGATAACAAGCAAGATGCTGTTGATTATTTAACTTGGACTTTCCTGTACAGAAGAATGACGCAGAATCCAAACTATTATAATCTGCAAGGTGTAACCCATAGGCATTTATCTGACCACTTATCGGAGCTTGTTGAAAATACTTTGAATGATCTTGAGCAATCTCGATGCATTAACATTGAAGATGAAATGGATGTATCGCCTTTGAACTTGGGAATGATTGCTGCCTATTATTATATAAATTACACCACAATTGAGTTATTCAGTGTTTCTCTCAATAGCAAAACTAAAATTAGGGGTCTGTTAGAAATAATAAGTTCTGCCGCTGAATATGAAAGTGTACCAATTCGACATCGTGAGGATAATTTACTGAAGCAACTTGCCAACAGATTACCTAATAAGTTGACTAACCCTAAATTTAGTGATCCTCATGTGAAGACCAATTTACTCTTACAGGCTCATTTATCGCGCATGCAGTTATCAGCTGAACTTCAGTCTGATACTGAAGAGATCCTGAGCAAAGCTATCCGTTTAATTCAAGCCTGTGTTGATGTGTTGAGCTCCAATGGTTGGTTGTCACCTGCTATTGCTTCTATGGAACTTGCTCAAATGGTAACACAAGCTATGTGGAGTAAAGACTCCTATTTGAAACAGCTTCCCCATTTTACCACTGAGATAATCAAGCGTTGTACCGATTCAGAAATCAACACTGTATTTGATGTCATGGAACTCGAAGACGAAGACAGAAACCGACTTTTACAGCTGAATGACGCTCAAATGGCTGATGTTGCTAGATTCTGCAACAGATATCCAAACATTGAGCTGACATACGACGTTCAGAACAGAGAAAACATTGTGAGTGGAGAGACAGTTATAGTGAATGTGCAACTCGAGAGAGAAGACGAAGTGACTGGTCCTGTTATTGCTCCTTTGTTTCCGCAAAGACGTGAGGAAGGTTGGTGGGTAGTTATTGGAGATCCTAAAACAAACTCTCTCATTTCCATAAAGAGACTTACATTACAGCAAAAGGCTAAGATCAAACTTGACTTTGTAGCTCCTAGTCCTGGGGATCATACTTATACATTGTATTACATGAGTGATTCCTACATGGGCTGTGATCAAGAATATAGGTTCAATATCAGAATAAATGAACCTGGCAGAAGAGGATCAGATAGTGACAGTGATTAAGTTTATTCTCATTCTCGTTTTTAATGGTGTAAAGCTTTGAATAAAATGATTGATGGACTAACTATCTAATCATTTTTTTTATAGATATATGTGTACACCTGTTTACATATTTTACATTACACTTCATACATATGCTTACTATATTTTTCTCAAGTTACTGATTCTAATCATTTGTTTAAAAAGCTGTATATTTTGAAACAGTTTACTTTTTTAAAATTATTATGTTGAAATTAGTATAAAGAAAATTATATTTTTATCTATAAATTCTAAATACATTTCGATATATTTGTTTTTGAGTATTCTTTAATAAATTGAATTCCTATGTCAAGTCTGTATAAAGTAAAATAAAGTGCTAAGGTTTATTTATTGTATTTAATTGTAAAACCCAACCAGTGGCTAAAAGTGTATGTGTTTTCAGTACTTAATTTTTATTAATCATAATTTAAGTTATTCACTGCTAATTATTGATTTTTAATCATTATCTTATTTATCCTTTTTTTAGATTTATTAATTGAAATATTTATGCAATTCCAAATACAATTTTATTGATTACTCTTTTTATACATACAGAATCGAACTAGGAGTTCGACCAGAAGGACACTTAAATAACGTTTTTTTTTTTCTTAAAATTGTCACTGATTTTGTTGTTTGCTGACTTGATTCCCAAAATTTATTAGAAATTTTAAACTTTTTATAACATGCTAAATATTTCATGCTTCATTTATAATTCACCTTGAATTTGTTGCATCAAATCACACAATTTGTTTGTCCATAAGTGACAACTTTAAATTACATGACTGGTAGCTTTGTTTTATAATTCCTAAATACTAAGATCAATCGTATTTTACATTAAACTATTTTCTTTTTTTTTTCTTATTTGTTTCTGGAATTCCCTAGATTTAAACATTTATCGAGAGGATTTTCAAGCTCTAGCTTAACTTACATATTTGCATTGAGTTGTAATGTTGTTCTCTGTGGTAATTTAAACAATAATTATTTGTTTCATCACATTTGATTCATTACAAAGTTGTGAAAAATATTTTATCAGGACAAAAGAAATTATTATAACATGTTTTCTGAAATTATATTAAATTTCTCAAATGCTTTTCGATACAAAAGAATGTGGGTTTCTACGGCCCCACTTTCATAGAGGGCCCCTGTGGTGATCATTCTTTTAGCAGCAAATGTTGGGAAGTTTTCGCATGGCAAAACTGTTGGTATAATTTGAAACGTTTAGAAATGTTGAATGAAGCTTTTAGAAATGGTGTCATATTTATTCATGCAAAATTCGGATCGCCTAAAATGAGAGAAAGTTAAGAATTCTTTTTAGCTTTAATACAAGAAAGTTTGAAATCATTTTATAGGATTACAATATTTATATCTTGATGCTTTTTTTTAATTATAATGGTATTGAAAAAGAAAGGAAGTTTTTAACTTCCTACTCTCATTGGTTGATGCAAATTTTGCATGGGTGAAAATGAACCAGTTTTCAAAAGCTTTAAGCATGGTCTTTCAAATAATGCCAAAAGATTTGCCTTGTAAAATCTTCTAAAACATTTGTTGCTTAAAAAAAGATAGTTCTTTTTCATCATTTTGATTCATCACAAAGTTCTGAAAGAATATTTTATTCAGAATGAGAGAAATTGCATTAAAATGTTTTCTGAAAAAGTATTGTATTACATATTTCTCAAAATGCCTTTTGATACAAAATAATTTGGGGTTCTACAGCGCCACTTTCATAGAGGGCCCACTTGGCGATCACGATTCTAGGTCTATGACCAGTCACTGTATACTATATACAGGTTAGACTAAATTATGGAAACATTTCTATACCCACTCTATGTGAACAAATGTTTTGGAAGATTTTACATGGCAAAACTGTTGGTATAATTTGAAACATTTAGAAATGGTGAATGAAGCTTTTAGAAATGATGTCATATTTAATCATGCAAAATTCGGATTGACCGAAATGAGGAGATAATTCTATCTAGCTTTAATATGAGAAAGTTTGAAATTATTTTATAGGATTTGCAATATTTATATTTTAATACTTCTTTTAATTATGGTGGTGTTGAAAAAGAAGGAAGCTTTTTACTCTCATTGGTTGATGCAAATTTTGCATGGGTGAAAATGACACCGCTTTCAAAAGCTTTAAGCGTGATTTTTCAAATTGTGCCAAAAGATTTGCCTATCGGTAATAATTTTTAATGTCTGGACACTGAGAGTATTTTTTCTCTAGCAATTGTTTATTTTTTTTTTCTATTTTATACATTGAACTTCTTTTGTAATTTAAACAATGAGGAAAAGCAATGTACCTAGTACATTGCTTGCTACTTTTTTTTAACGTAAACAGCATTTTTTTATTGTGATGATTTTCAAACTGGAAGCATTTTTGAATCTGAAATAATTTTAAAACTTTCTAAGACATCTTTGTTCTATATTATAAAATAATTTTTTTTAAATTCGTGTTTTGAAGTTTGTTTTGCATGTTGGAAAATTATAAAACGAAATTGGACTTTGTCGTTTTAAACAGCCTATTTTCTAGGATTGTTCTTTGTTAAGAATTTATAGAAAATAATGAAACATTTGGCAAATTCTTATTATATTATGCATAATAACTCGTAATCTTTTTTTTTTCTTTCTTTTCTTTTTTTTTAAATTACGAACTTTTAAGCTCATAGACAATTAAGTTAAATATTTGGGGAAAAAAAATATTTGTCGGGCGTCGAAAATGCCTCACATTTGAAATCTTCCCATTGATATCTCATGTCAACTAAAAGCTTTAAATGAAAATAGTATTTGAGGTAAAAAATTTGATGGAAGTAGATTTCAGCTGATTTTTAAATTAATCCTAAAACAAGACTGCTCTTTTATTTCACCCAACAAACAAAATTGTCTTCAATAATTTCATTTTAATAATTACAATGGTAATTCATATTAATAAGACTTGACATAGGTGATCCCAAATTTTCCTTTTTTATGGGCTATTCCTGTTTTCCCTTCCATGTAATGTAAATTCTGTTTATTTTTATTAATAAAAGGAGCGATTATTTCACTATGTAAGCTAAAAGTTACTTGTCTGCTAAATTAAATTCGAAATTGCAAGATTAAATTTATTTTACTGCTTCTAATTCTCTACCAAAATAAGATTTTTATCAAGGGCAATAATGAATATATTCAGCATTATGATCTCCACAATGTTTCGGAGTGAAAGCAAACTTATGGAAAATTTGGTATAATTAATTTAAATTCTGCAACAAATGTTAAAACTTCCCCCACTAGGTGTTTTGTTTTCTGGCCGCGTTTTTACTTTTTTTTTTGCATTAAGAAATAGCTGTCATAAAAAAGGAATGTTTATTGAGAAAAAGTACGTTTTTTAGTCTGATTTCGTAATTTGAATTATCGTCTGCACTTATTAAGTAGCATATTTGAGGTCACCTCCTCCAGGCATTAAGATTTGAGTCCTAGAACGTGAAGATTCGATCATTAGATCAAAAGTTATTCAGAGTGGTCGGGTTTTTTTATTCTTCACTGTACACTTTTTACATTGCTATAAAAGAACTATCTAAATATGTAAGGTATGTAATTCTATGTAAATTTTTACACTGAATTGAGATAAACAGGAATTGATAAGATTAAAAGTCAAGAAGTTATAAGGCTTTTGTGTTGAAAAAGTATAATCTTGTACTTGCACTTATACCCGCATCCCATGTTGCTAAACAGACAAGTGAGGTATTGTTTTTTATGGATTTTTTGCTCTCTTAATCGAATGGAAAAAACGATTAGTATTTCAAAAATTGCGATGTTCTTTTTTTTAATTGAACTTATTATAAAGAAATTCCTTCCATAGCTGTCGACTTGAATTTTATCTCATTTAATTCTGCATGAAACTTACAAGCTCATATAGCAATCCGAAAATGCACATGTCTTACGTACATAGAGCGTTTTTAATATTAAATCTATTCATTCTAATTGTTCTTGTATAATCTCATTCGATTCAACGGTCCCGCAGTGGACTGATCGTTAAGACACGGTTCCCAGCAGATCACCGAAGTCATACATCACTGGCTGCAATCAGTGTGCGGGTGGGTGACCACTTGGGTCAGACTGCGTAGGGACCGAGGGTGTGCGGGATTGGTCCTCGTTAAACTGTTCTACTGTAAAGTGCTCGACTTCGCGTGCAGGTCGTCGGTTTACCAATGCGGGGTGCCATCCCCTCTGCAGAATATCAAAATTGTGATGGCATGTCTTCGGTTCATCCTCAGGGATGTTTCCCAGACCATCGCCAATAGCCCATTGTGCAGCTCTAATGCGACGTAAATGAACTACAACATCAATTCAACGTGAAAAAATACATTGGAAAACCTCACTTGTTTAGATAAATGTTCTAAAATTGATAGTTCAATTTTTAAACATATTATTATAGATTGGCATCGCAAAAGCAATCGCATTAATTACTATTAATGATTCTTGGTATACTAAGTGAATTAATGAATCCGCGAAATATTAAAACCACTTCATCGATAAAATTTTTCATCGACTATGTCAGTCGATGAAAAGAAAATTATACTACGATATATAGTGTTCCACCATCGTGACAATAAATAGTTCGCACTAATAATAGTTCGCATCGTGATAATAAATAGTTCGCATTAGTGCGAACTAATACAGTAAACTGTATTAATGCAGTATTAAATCTTGTTTAAAAAAAAAACGCAACACACTTTTAGAATGAAAACAACAGAAATTAAGCAATTCTAAGAATTTAATCAGAAAAACACAAATCTTTTAGAAAGTTTGATAGTAAAATTACTTCGTAATGTGTCCTACATTTTATATTCCTCAGCAGTGGCGTACGCAGAATTTTTTCAAGGGGGGTGTTCATAATTTTCTGAAGCTACTGAAAGAAATTCGAGTATGTAATAAAGCACTATTATTTCCCTAATTTAGACAGTTTTGACTTTTTATTTCGACAACATTGTTTAGTCAAATTTTGATTTGAATTTTTAAGTTTAAGAACATAATGTAATATCTTCTGAAAAAAGTCCAATGTCATATGGG